GCTCTCTTTGCTTCCAGCCTTCAAAGCAAGCCAGTTATGGAATAGGGTGAGGACCAAAACTCCAAGTTTTTGTTAAGGGCAGTTGCAGCTCCTCAGCCTACATCTAGGTGTTGTCAGCAGACAGTGCATCATCACGATTCATCAGGACACAGGTGACACTTACAGAGGAGAAACTGGATTTTATTGTCCTCCTAGTCCATTGGCAGCAATGGCTTGGAAAGTGATTGCAGTGAGGTTAAAGTTAGGGCAATAAGTAAAGTTATTTGAAGGACACATTCTCTTTGTTTCTGATGACATGAAGCTGAGAGCTACTGTCCAACCAGTGGAGAGAGGGACTTTACAGGAAAAACTGGAAAAGACCAATAATTTGAATAGCAGTAATGAGAAGGAGTGCAGGGTCATGAGCCTGGAGGCTTAATAATGAGCTCCCAGCTCATACCAGAAATGCTTTTCCATTGAAAGCAGTGGAGACACAGAAAACCCTGAGTGCACTGGTTAATCATACATGGGCTTGGAGCTACCAGGGTGGTGCACTGTGGCTGAGCACAAGACAAGAACAATTCCAGAGTGTTCTGGGGAGGAATTTTTCAGGATGGGGAAACATGAATGCTGTTGAGCTTGTGAAACTGCACCTGGAGTTGTCTTCACAATATTCATCAGCCATGCTGGAAGGCAGATGGATTCAGCTGGAGCAGGTGTAGTGAGTGGCTGCAGGGATTAGCATGGGACACTCCAGTATACAGGAGTAAACTGGAAGAGCTTGACTTATTTGTCCTAGCAGAATAAAGGCTGAGGAAGAATGCAACTGCACTCTATAAATACAAGAGTGAATTAAACACAAGGAGTGAGAAGGCATATTTAAACAAAAGAACAATATTGCCTTGAGCAAATAGGTGTGTGTGTCTTGGCTGTGGTTACAGTTTCTAAATAAAGGTTCTGGAATACTAATAGGAGGAAGAAACCAAAGTACTCTTTAGATAAGTTTTATTAAATTTATGGAGATGACTGTATGAAAGAGTTAGCTATTAAGAGGAATCAAGCCCATGAGGTCCTTCTTGCAGAGTGCTCCTGGGCTTGCTGAAGTATAATGTTAATAACATGTTTTCCTGTGTCTGTAGCAGGCACTATGTGTGCCTGAATAGCACTCACTCTGGGACTAAAAGCTTGTGAGATGCACGTCTTAAACACTCTAGTTTTGGATCAAGTCAAGCAGACTCCAGTTCAGTGAGGTACACTTAATTCACAAAGGTACCCACCTTCAAAGATTTCAACTTAGGAACATGAAGTTGGGGCTCCTCCTCCACCAGAATACTTCTGCTTCTTCATCCCCATGTCTTTTATCTCTTCAGTCTTCCTCTCCTAAATCTCTGGGTTCTTGAATGAGTTACCAGCTTCTATGATGCTTAATCCTTCCCCTCTTCCATATGTTTTCTACCTCCTGGTGTTTCACAGCCTGCCTAAACAACCTTTCTGTGCTTCTCTGTGTCTCTTCCTGAGCTGAAACATGTCCAGTTGCTGCCAGCCAGTAGAGACCACCTATCACCTCTGCTCCTGCTTCCTTCTGCACCCACCTGCAGCAGCCTTTCAGCCCTCTGCCCTGTCACTCCAAGCCCTTTTCCTCTCCCATCACCATGCACCCTCCCCTGAGAGAGGCCTCTAACTGAGGAGTGCCTGTGCAACCTGTCCACCTCCCACCTTGCCCTCTGTGTGGCAAGGCAGGCCATGCAAATCCATTCAGCAACCAAATAACAGTCTCTAGAGCTGGAAAAAAAAAAAAAGCACAACAGTTCCCAGCACACTGAAGTCAATTTCACCACAGTGTGTGCAGCAGCATTTGCTTGTGACAGCGAGAGTCACAGAAAGCTCAGCAAAAGCCAACTGTGTCCTTGGCTGCACCAAAAGTAGTGTGGCCAGAAGGACAAGGGAAGGGATTCTCCTCATTTACTCTGCTCTCCTGAGACCCCACCTGGAGCACTGTGTCCAGTTCTGGAGCCCCCAAGAAGAACATGGTCCTCAGGGAGAGAGTCCAGAGGAAGCCACAAAGATGATCTGAGGCCTGGAGCAGCTCTGCTCTGGAGACAGGCTGGGAGAGTTGGGGTGTTCAGCCTGGAGAAGAGAAGGCTCCAGGGAGACCTTAGAGCACCTTCCAGGGCCTGAAGGGGCTCCAGGAAAGCTGGGGAGGGACTTGGGACAAGGGCAGGGAGGGAGAGGACAAGGGGAAATGGATTAAAACTGGGATAAGGGAGATTTAGGTGAGACATGAGGAGGGAATTGTGGAGTGTGAGGGTGGTGAGAGCCTGGCCCAGGTTGCCCAGGGAAGCTGTGGCTGCCCCATCCCTGGCAGTGTTGAAGGGCAGGTTGGATGGGGCTTGGAGCAACGTGGGCTGGTGGGAGGTGTCCCTGCCCATGCAGGGGGTTGGACCTGGATGATCTTGAAGGTTCCTTCCAAACCAAACCATTCTGTGATTTGATGACAACACTTACACCCCCTCTTGTAGGGTTACAGATCCACAGCCCAGGCTATAAAACTGCAGGCAGGAGCAGGCGAAGCTGGGCTGGGAACCCCAGGCTGGTTCCTGCAGCTCTCCCTGAATGCCCTGCACCACTGAGCTAAAGATACCTCCTATTGCTGTTCCACAGGAGGATGCCCATGCTGGGTGGGAAAAAAACCTTTCCATGTTCACAAAAAAATAAAATAAAAATGGAATCCCTTCATTGCCTCTGGCCACCAGTCAAGCAGAGGTGTGGTTAGCCAATTAGGGTGATTGTGAGTGTTTTTCATTTCCTGCCTCTTTCCAACATTCCTGTAATCGGATACATCCTTCTCTATTTGAGACACCTACTGAAAAATAACCAACTTAGATAAACCTTTTTTTTTGCTGATTTCCCTGCCCTCTCTGGTAGCACTGGGGGCAACTGTTTAACATGAACTACAACTGCCCTATAACCCCAGCAGTGATTTTTAGACACACTGTGCACACTTCTTCACCCCTTCTCAGTTGCCCACCTCCTGTGTGTGAATCCAGTGGTATTGCCCTCAGTTTTCTGGGGGTCAGAGCTGAGGGTGGGGTGCCCAAGGGGCTCCAAAGCCCATTCTCCACTGCAGCTTTCTAGACACATTAGTTCCTACGTGAAACATAAAAGCCATGGAAAGGGATTAGCACTACATAAGGGGAAACCAGTGAAGTCACAGTAACTATTAAGTGCCTTAAAACTTAAAAAAAACACCAAAAAAAAGGAGAAATGCAGGAATAGAGAAGTTTAATTTCTTCCTACCCTGTTGAGGAGAGTGAGGGAAAAGCACATCTTTGGAAACTGCAACGTAGAATTGCAGTTGTATTTAAACAGCACAAGCTCTTAGAAGGTCTCTTCTCAAAAATAACTTTTCCACTCTACAATGTCCTTACAGTTTCACTTTTCCAGAAGAAAGAAATGTTGCACCCAAACATTTAAACAGATTGCTCTTTTGCTCTAGCTTTTGTTTCCTTCAGGAAACACTGGAATTATCTGGGCTCCCCCTGTGCTAAGGTTACACCTACCCCCTGCTGTGGCTCTGCTGCAGAGCCATAAACCTCCCAACTCTATCATTTCATCACATTGTTTTTCCAGGCAGCTGTACAAATTGTTTGTATAGGCAGGGTTGGTTTTCTTCCCCTCCCCCCCTTTTTTTTTTCCCCTCTTTTCCCTTCCCCTCTTTTTTTTTTCCCCTCTTTTCCCTTCCCCCTCTTTTTTCCCTTCCCCCTAGACCTTCCTGCTCCCTTGAATTCCTCTACTTCTGTAACAAGGGGCTTTGAGAGTTTAATTATCCATCACAGAAACTTTACTCTGTATCAGCTCTGGAGCCATGACTGGGCACTGGTGGGAGCTGCAGAAAGCCCTGGTCAGAGACACCCCCACAACTACTGCACCTGCAGGTGAGACAGGGTGTTGAGCTGCTTCAGGAACTGCTGAGGGTTCCAGAATGAACTATTTCAACATGGTTTGCTAGTATGTAAAGACAGCAGAAGGCTCTCTGATAACCCTCTTGCAAAACTTGAGGAACTCTTCCTTATCTCCTGGAGCTGCTCTACCATGCTGGTTCCCATGGTGAAATGGCAGCACTAGACAGGGGAGGTCACAAAGAGCATCAGCTACACGGTCCCAAAAGTGGGAGCAGGGCAGAAGCACCAATTCACGTGCAAATTTTAGAAAAAGGGTGACTTTTGTATCTAGGTGACAGTCTGGTCTGAGTCAAGGTGAAGAGGAATCAGGAATGTTCTGTATGTTACCAGACTGGACTGAGTTTCAGCTAAGTTTTCCTCACCCTACACTTTCTACCTCTGTGCAAGCTGTAAACTACAACTGAAAGTAAATCTGATGCAAAACCAAATCTACCAGCTTATCCTTCAAGCTTTTACAGCTTTTCAAAAATGGAAACTACAACATTCATAAGGGGGTATGAGTTGGTTAGCAGGTCTTCCAGTCCACCAACATTATGGTTTTAAAATTTATTCCAAGTTACTATTGTGTTCAATGGCAATTCATGAAGGAATAGAATAGGTGGAATTACCCTTATGCAGGGTTGCAATGAAGACAATTTCTCTCTTAGTATTTATTTTAAGTGCTGATTATAAAGAACATCGATGAAGGAAGAATCTAACTACTCAAGGACTCGCAGACATCTCTCCCCAGAGGAAACCTGGAATTCCTCATTTTTACAATGAATGTAACCAGAATAATCTGCCTGATTTGTAAACCTGGAAGTTATTTTACCTTTTGCATGAGTCTGTTAGAAGGGATTTATTTTAATGAACTCTTTAGATGTCACTGTCTTGTCTCCCTTCGTATATTCCTTGTTAGCCAGCAGATCCTTGGTACCTTTGTTCCATTAGAGCTTCTCTGGATTTCCATTACAAAAGTCCATGCTCCAGAAGGAAATCAACCCTTTGGCAACAATGCAATTTTCACAGGGAAGTTCAAGTTAGTTCTTTAATGGGCCAGAGACCTTGCACACCCTCTGGGGATGGAGAAAAGCCATTCCACAGGCATAAGATACATCATTTCAACCTGGTGTTTTTAATATCAGTTAGAAATGGTTCTTAATAACAGACATATTTACTTAATGACTCACTTGGCCTTAATTACATAGTAACAAGCTGTGATGATTCCATCCTGCATTACTGTATATGTTCTTCTTAAAGCAGATTATTATTTCTCCAGAAGAGCATGAGCTGCAGGAGTACATTTTTAGACCATCCCCACTGTCTTCTTGCTTTAGCTGACTAGCAAGTCCCACCTTATGAGAAAGAAGCAGATTTCTGCTGCTGAAGGACATTGTGATCATGGCTGTTCAGTTCTTCTAGCTGGATCTCTGGGAATTTCACTTGTTTTTCAAACCATTTGGCTACAGTGAGAAGCTGCTTCTCCTGGAATGAACGTCCAATGAACTGAAGCCCAATTGGCAAGCCTCTCTCTGACAGAGCTGTAGGAACATTTATGGCTGGCAGTCCTGAAAGGAAAAAAAAAAAGAGAAAGAAAAATAAAGATGCACATGTAAACACTACTAAACAAATCCAGTTGGAGTAATTTTTGTAATAATTTTACCCTTAGAATAATTTTTCTGTAGAGGAAAAAGGCTAGTTAAAATAATTCCAGTTAATGAAATAAAAATACGGCTAGGTGATCACAAAAAGGAATTAAGAATGATTTAAGGAGTCAGCATCCTCTGAGAAGAGAATCAAATCTGAGAAGATATTTTGGTCTCTGAAACTTGAATGGATGAATCTTATTTGTAGTCCCTACCCAGCTCCAAGGTCACCGAACCACCTGGGTTGGAAAAGACCTTAAAGATCACCAAGCCCAACCATCAACCCAACACTGACAACTCCTTAATTAACCATATCCCTCAGTGCTACATCTATAGGACTCTTAAATCCCTTAAGGGATGGTGACTCCACCACTTCCCTGGGCAGTCTGTTCCAGTGGCTGACAATCCCTTCAGTGAAGAAATTCTTCCTAACATCCAATCTAAACCTCCCCTGGTGCAACATGAGGCCATTACCTCTTGAACAGGTGTCCCATTTTCAAATCTAGTCTTACATTTTGAAGCATTTAAAAAGAAGCTGCCCTTACACCTCGTTACCATCACAGGAGTGACAACACAGAGATGACTTATCTTGATTCTAAAGAAGAGGTAAAAAAGCTGAAGGGAATGGACATTAAAAATGCCTAGGCTGGGGAAAAACAGTTGACTCCGTGTCCCTGCTCACCAGCCATGTTTACAGCCTGGGTCAGGATGTCATCTTGAGCACTACGGGTTCTGTTGTCCTCCTTGATGAATTCCACATAAGTTGCTGCATCAGTCAGAGTGGTGGGAGTGAGCAAAATATCGACGCCGCTCCTGAAAACCTTCCTAAAGTCGTCAGCAATGAGACGTCTGACTTTCTGTGCCTTGAGAAAGTAATCCTCATAGTTCCTAAAAAGAAACAGGGACACGAGGGTCTGATACTAATTCCAGAAATACACAAGTGACTTTCTTGGTTACTGCAAAGAAGACAAGGCCAGTGTTCCTCCTGGTTAAAAGACTTAACGCTGGTACTTGGGGTTTTGATAAACCAGAAGTCAGACATATTTTTTATGTTCTCCCAGCAATGGAACTGTCATAGAAGGAAGAGCTGAGGACAGACTGCTAAAGAAAGGTGAAGGGAAAACAAAAGCCTAGCTTACAATAATTAACTAAAAATCAAAACAACACTTTAATGACTTTTCTGAAACCAAACCACCTATTGAATTTCACTGCGGGGCAGCACAGCAAAGCCTAGAGACACAACTAAGGAGACCCATTGGCATGAATCATTTAGGATTCAATCCAGCAAGATACTTCAGGGATGTGAAGAAGTCCCATAATCTACAGAGGACTCCCTGTGGTCCATGGAGTGGCCTTCTCAGCTGTCTCTACACAATTCTAAAGCAGAAACAAATTAGTCAGCTTTCTGTCTAGTGTTCCTTTTAGCTTCATATGCAGAAGTGGTAAATGTGGAATTCCTAAATTCAGGGAAGTTTGGTTTCAAAAGTAATTGCTATCTAAAACCACAGCTGTAGTGAAAATAAAAGGAAGGGGTTATTAACAACTGTGACATTCTGGAGTGTTTGCAGACAAAACTAAAACTGCCCAAAAGCCACCTTGTTAGAGTCATCTAAAGATTAATTTTTCTGGAAAATGGAAATTAAAATTGTTATAATAAAGTATAGATATAATTTAGATATAATTAAATATACATCTATAAATTGATTATGTAAATATATATTTATATATAATATGAACAGTTCTAATAAATTATATACCAGCAGTAGCAGATTGAAGTCAAGATGTTACATCATGGGAATCAGCCCTTTTTTCTACAATCATTTCTGAAATGATCCTACCTGTTAACTTCAGAAAAACATGAGAAGGAATAAAAAGAACTTCAAAGCACATTTTAAGCTGGAATTACTATTTTGGGTTTAAAAACTAAAAAAATGAAAAAAATACTGTTAAATCAAACACATACTCTCTATTTAAATTATGATACAATGTTGACAAACTTCCAGTGCTTCCTGAAGTTATTTTACACTGAGTTGTTTTACACATTTCAAAAGCAAGATAAAAATCATGTGTAAAATGCAACTTTCAGGAGACACAGATGGGCTTTCTTCTCTCCTGTTTATTCCAGGAATGCTTTCAGAACCCTGGGTTCTGTTCTTCAAAAGTCATTTACTGTGGACAGGACCAGGACCCATGTCCAATCTGGAAGCCAATTGTATATTCTTTCACACAAGAGTGAACTGCACAAATTTTAAGGCAGCCTTAGGAAAGCTGATCTAGACAGTTGTAGCCAGGAGCACACTTGGCAGGAATATCAGCATTCCATAAAAGCTGGTTGTTACACACTGACTGACAACATTCCTGCCTCTGAGAGCAACTAGAAGTCACATCTGATGAACACTCCTGCTGACTGAGCTCTTTCTGTAGTGCACTTCTTCTCAGAATGATTACATTACTAACATTTCTGCTGGTACCTGAACAAATTAAGACAGAGAAAAGCAGCAGTTTTACTGACATAAATTAGGACTGAAAAGAAGTGACAATGAAGAAAACAAAACCAACAAATTGATCCATGCTCCAGCTCCTCTACATGAGCTGGTTAAAAACCTTTCTTCTGTAAAGACATCAGTTCAATACCTTCTATGCCTTTCTCTCCCTGCACACTGAGGCAAAGAGCTACAGTTAATCACTACATCTTCTGGCTTTCTCTGGGAAGACCTAACTAGAATGGATCCATGCAGTTTTAATGAGATTTACAGCTGCAGAACTTTTACCCCTATGATAGTAATGGCTTCAGTATGATGTTAATGTTATACCATAGGAGAGATTTTTTTTGCTTGATTTAACTACTGAGTGACAGTAACACTTTGCTGAGGAAAAAAAATAAAGATCACCAAGTTGTTTTACTTATTTAATTCAGAAGGCTCACTGGTAAGGCTAAGGGAATAAATTTTCATTCATTATTAACAGCTCACTAGCTATTACATAGCTAAAGCAATAATAATACAAGTAACAACTGGCATAAGGATGATTTTTCTTTTCCATGTCACAATGAACAATGAATCATCATTTGCTCAAGAAATGGTTAACTTGGCAAATGTGCATTTCAAGATGATCTGCTTACTGTTTCAACAAGAAATAGTTTCCTGAGAGAATTCTTCCTCTGACAACATCATTGAAGCCTTCCCGGCGTGTTGCAGCATACATGCTTTCTGTGGACTTGTTCATGGCAGAACGGTGTCCTTGAAAAGAAAAGGCAATTTGGAAATTAAGATTTTCTGTAATCCTTACAATTTAGCAACATAAGGTAATGTTATCCATGGCAATACAACAGGCCATTGTTTGCTGCCATCTGATAATGCTGCTATTCTGGAAAAACAGCAAAGCACGTTCCTGTTTTATTACAGACTTATTAAACAGACTTGAAGCCCAGTCACTTATATGTCTAGAAATGAGATATATTAAAATATGTATTTATTTACTCATTTTTATTTGGGCAGCATCCCTGCTCATAGCAGGGAGGCTGGACCCTGATGATCTTTAAGGTCCCTTCCAACCTTAACCATTCTATGATTCTATATTCCATCTTGGGGAAATCACACCAAACATTCAACCATGCAAACTAATAATTTTTAAGAGCAATGTTTCTATTGTCTGAGGAAAAGAAAAAAGTAGTTTCCAAGGCCTTACCATATTCCAGTCCATCAAATCTGGCCATATTTGATGCCACTTCTGCTGTGCACAGCACATGGTAGCAGACAATTGAGTAACATGTGTGTGGTAGACTCACTTCTATCACTTTGGCACCTGCATTCTTGAAGAGGTCAGCAGCCTTGGACCAGACAGCCAGAATCTCACTAGAAAGCTCTGGTACATGATATTCCTTAGGGAAAAACAAGAAGGTGAGTGGTCTTACACACCAATTTACTTCTCTAATGGCAACCAAAATGTAAATAGTCCTTGCTAAAAATACACTGAAGCTGACCTCACCACTACCTGATTTATTAAAGCTTCTTGCATCTACTAAATCTTACACAGTCTGGCAGTACTAAATTAACAGGATTCAGCCTCCTTATGAATATTATGTTCATCTCAGTAGGATCAACCCACAGAACAAGCAAACAATTTCTGCAGCTTCTTCAGAAGGAGGAATTGCCCAGTTATCCACTTATCTGTCTAATTCATGGAGACTGCCCTTCGCTGCTCTGCAGTTTGTGGATGGAAACTCTTAAGTTTGGTTTACTCTTAAATCTTAGGTTTAAATCCTAAAACCAGGGCTGCTGTGAGTAGGAAAGAGACAAAGAAATGCTGGCCACAGCCTCTCAGTGGCAGCTGTCAGGCCTCAGAGAAACACACAAAACAAGCCTCCAGAGAAGTACTGCAATCAAAGGGTTGGGAGAAGACTTGGGTAAGTTGTCCAGCTGTCCATTCCTGTCCAAGAGCCAAGTTAAAGATATTCTACTAAAATTCTCCAGTTTTGAAAATACTTGCTTTAGTTCTAACTCACAATACATAAAGTTGTCTGATCTCTGAGTAACTATGACCCATGTTTAATATATGCATCTGTCTGTCTGGGATCATCTGTAGCAATGGAAAACAACTGTCCAAAGGATATGAATAATAAACCAATACCACTACTTTTAGATTTATCAAAATCTCAACAGTAGGCAGCTAATTATTTTCTAGGCATAAAATTTTTGCATTTCACAGATCCTGAATAATTCATTGGTCTCTGTTTAAAACTTTTGGGGTACCTGTTCTAGCACAGATTCAGACAATGAGAATCAAACCAATAAATGTTATTTCCATTGTCTCTTTGAAGGCACAACCTTTCCTAAATTAACAATAGGCTGGAGACCCAAAGGTTGTGCCTAAATTTCAAGTATCCTTACCATTACAAACATGATTGATTTGCAAACATCACAAGTCAGATGACAGTTGTTTTTCAATCCCTACTAGAGCTCTGTGAATCACAGCTCCTTGTGCCACTCAACTGCCTCTAAAATTCTGTTCCACATTAACACAAGTATCTCAGAGCACTGCACAGACCAGAACTAACCTCAAGGAGCGAGGAGGCACCAAGAGCAACTCGTTTGAGGTTATGCAGATGACTGATAAAAAAGCAACAGAGAGAACCAAGATTGGAAGTTCCTCATTTCCCTTGGAACTTCCCAACAGTGCTTCAATGACAAAATGTTTTAGATGAAGCATGAGCATTTGCTCACTCCAAATCACCTGCAGAGGCCACAGAGGACATACTGCTCTTTTCCAGGAGCTGCTTATCCTGTCTTCACAGTTTTACATCATGGAAGACTGGGAAGTGGTAGACAAGACATAACTGTTTTTTTGTTAGGTGTCCTATTTGCTGTTCCTGCCCACAGCTGTTGACAGGATTTAAATGTTACCTTTGGAATTCCTATGGAGAGTTTGCTGACATCAGTCAAATTGGGTAGTTCAAATGGCTTAAAGTCATCCTGAATTGTGGTAGAGTCTCTAGGATCGTGTCCAGCAAGTAAACCTGAAACGTGACAGGACACAGGAAGACCAGGAAAATGTCCATTAGGAAGCCAGAATTCAACATATCTTGACACAATGTTGTAACCAGACACCTTGTCCACAAAGACAAAGGAAGCAGTAATACCTAACACAAGTGCTGCATCATCCACGCATCTGGTTAGGATTCCTGGCACATCCATGGAGTTCACTAGAGGAATGAGACCATGGCGAGAGATCAGGCCATATGTTGGCTTTAAACCTACTACACCACAGTGAGCAGCAGGGTTCCTGGTAGATCCTCCTGTGTCTGACCCTAAGGCTCTGTGGTTTCAAAAGGATGATCGTTAGTCACATCATTCACACTTCCAAATAATACAAACGTTTGGCTTTAAGATGCATGGATTTAAAAACACAGGAATTCTTCCAGATTAGAAGTCATCATCACACAGCCTAAACCTCAGGTCTGCAATTTTTTATCTGCTCTTTTTTTAGGGTCTCTGAATGAGTCATTAGGAGACCCCAGTTCTCTCCACAAAGCAGAAGCAGACAGGATTTAGGCCATCTGAACACAGCCCTAAATACCTACTTCACCTTCTTTCTTGCTCTGTTCCAGTCCTGTGGACTCCAAAAGATGTGTCTCATGTGATTTAGGATACAATTTTCAGGTGCTGGTATCTAATTTATTCAGCAGCCAATACACCAGGAAGCAGCATTTTCCAGCATACAAACAAACAGCAGCACAGCACACTTTTTGCTCCTAATAACAGGACATACTTTCCAAATTCTAGGATGTTTTTCCTCTTTCCAAACCTATAAACCATACCATCAGAACTCCCAGTTTAGACAAATTTAGGTGCATTTTTAGAACAAAGTATTATTATTATTTTTTTAAGTTGACTTTTTTGTTATTTTTTCACAGGTGAAACCCTTGTTCTTTTCAAACTGAAATTTTATTTCAAAAATTGTCATAGCAGAATTGGAAATTCATGTTGAAATCAAACCTCTTCTCTTGTTTTTAATAATTTTAACTCAAGCACTGTTTAAAAAACAAACCAGCTATCACCCAAATCTTTGCCAAAAATAGACTTCAGAAGGAGATACAATTTTTATTGAAGTGGGTATGTGACTTTCCCCAAAGGCATCTGTTTCTGAGGTGGATAAACTAATTCAGTTGACTTTGCTGAAGTGGATTTTTTTTTTCCAAAGCTTTTTTTGTGGGTATAAAACATCCTCAGTTTTGTAGCATTTCCATACATCCAAATCTCAAATTGAAAAGACAAAGACTGGCAGCATTCCTGGTGCCTGAAAGAAACCAATAGAGTGGATATCCAATAGGTTACAGGCAATAAAATAGCTGGATGAAAAACCTCCCTGATGTGACAAAGTGCTGAGCAGAACAAAATGGGAGCTCAGCATGCCCACCAACATAAGAGAAGGTGCCAGACCCTGTCAGGACCAGCCCTCCTTGGGAATGGCTGCAATCAGTTCAGTTTCAACAGTATTAAAATGTTAAGCAGATGACATCCTAGCAAAGGGCAACGAGATGAGAAGAGGTATCATTAGAAAATAATAAATCGGGTTTTTTAAAATATAAAAATATGTATTTTTTTTATAAAGCTGCCATCAATATAAGAAAAAAAAATGAACAATCAGATAGACACTACTATTCTATGGGTAAACAAGGACTCAGTAATTAAAGAGTGTTCTTAAACACCTTTCAGTTAAGAGCACAACTGAAATAATCTTCTAGAAAACATGCTCCCCTGTATTGCTCTAAAACCCTTATAAAATGAAAGGTGTAAAATGTTAAGGATCAGATTTCTTCTAACAGATCAAATCAATCCAAGGGGAAGACAGTCTAGACAACTGAATTGTTGAACAGTGCATTGCTATTCCATGCAGATAATAACTGTTGTAAAACAAAATTCCAGCTTGATTAAATTTGTTCAAAGAAACCAAAACCACTTAAAAACCCCACAAAACCCAAAAACTAAAACTGTCTTTTAACTTTTAAAAACAGTTTTTTAACTACCTCTTTAGTAAGTACCTGTATAACAATTTCCTAAGTCAGGGATTTGAAAGCTTTTAGATCCCAACTCCCCTGTATTATTAGGTAACTCTGCTATAAAATCAAAGGAGGGAATGAAAGATGATTATACTGTTACAAATTAAGGGATCTCCTCATTTGCTACATTACATTTTCAGCATGTATTTAATGCACTTAGTGAGGAAGTGAGTGTGTCACAAACCCCATGGTACTTTCTTTAAGAGAGTATGTGTGAATGACAATAAAACTGTCACTCATTTACTGCCATTATTACCATTTTGTTTCACACAGTGTAAAGTGGTCCTATCAGAATTAATAAACCCAGATTTGCCTACATGGATTAATTCTGGCTTCATTATATGCCACAAATAAACTAGGGATGCTGAAAGAAATCCTTGCATGCCCGTGCAAACAACCCTCCCATTTCCAACTAGGTTGTGAGAAAATGATGAAATTAAAGCCTTGCAGTGTATTTTGAGACATTTAATAGGAAACAATTTGCAGAAGCTTCTTACGCAAAGCAGGTGAAGGATGACACAGCAGCTGCACTGCCCCCTGAGCTCCCTCCTGTTATCACCCAGTTAGAATCTTCATCCTTAGAATGGGATCCTGGCATGGATTTTTCCTTGTACTGCCTTGAGTAACTCCAGGGATTTCTGACTGGTCCAAAGACTCCATCTGTACTTCCAGATCTAAGATAGTCAGAGGGGATAAATACAGAGAGGAGGGACAGATGAGACACTGCATTCACACAGGGGCTTTTTTTCTTCATCCAATTCCTCATCCTTCATCCTAGCAAATTCCATTTCAACACAATAAGACTGGCATAAATAAATCCTTGTGCAGTCAACTTCAACAGTGTTACAAAGAACTGGCAAGTGAATAGATTTTCATCCCTTTCTGACACTTCTACCTCTTTGTAAATTCTGCTAATGCCACTGAAAAGAATGTGACCCCCAAACCAAAACTGATTTGAGCTACATAACAGTAAAGCTGCACGTCTGCTTCAAAACAAAGGCCTTCTGGTCTCCTAACCCTGATTCGGAAAAGGCAAAATAAGACAACCACAGTCCCCCATGCTGCCAGAGCAGGGGGAAAGCCCTGCAATATCAGGAACAAGCACTTCTCTGTAAAACACACAGTTACTCACACTGTAGCCCTCTCCTGAGGCCACAGCTCGCTGGTTCAGAGTGCCAGACTGGCTTCTCAGGAACTGGTTTCAGTCAGGCTGTGGTCAACTCAGTGTGAGCTGCTCCCCTGTGTGCAGGGGGTACTCTCCTCCTTCCTCATAACCTCCAACCCATGTTTCCCCAGACTTCAGGGTGCCAGTGTCATTAGGCAAATCCTGAGACAGAGTGGGCAGACACAGTAGCTGAAGAAGTGTGGCCAGCAGGTCAAGGGAGGTGATTCTCCCTCTTTACTCAGCTCTCATGAGACCCCACCTGGATCACTGTGTCCAGCTCTGGGGTCCCCAACATAAGGACATGGAGCTGTTGGAGGGAGTCAAGAGGAAGCCACAAAGATGATCTGAGGCCTGGAGCAGCTCTGCTCTGCAGACAGGCTGGGAGAGTTGGGGTGTTCAGCCTGGAGAAGAGAAGGCTCCAGGGAGACCCTAGAGCATCTTCCAGTGCCTGAAGGGGCTCCAGAAAAGCTGGGGAGGAGCTTGGGACAAGGGCAGGGAGGGAGAGGACAAGGGGGAATGGATGAAAACTGGAGGAGGGGAGATTGAGGTGAGACATGAGGAGGGAATTGTGGAGTGTGAGGGTGGTGAGAACCTGGCCCAGGTTGCCCAGGGAAGCTGTGGCTGCCCCATCCCTGGCAGTGTTGAAGGGCAGGTTGGATGGGGCTTGGAGCAACCTGGGCTGGTGGGAGGTGTCCCTGCCCATGCAGGCGGGTTGGAACTGGATGATCTTGAAGGTCCCTTCCAACCCATTCCATTCCATGATCATTACTTTTGAGCTGGATCAGCTCCCTGATCAAGGTCCTAGTGCAGCTCTCTTGCTGCTAGCACAAGAGACCACACACAGACCAAAGATGAGAGGCCAGAGGTGGGATGAGCTTTTTTAGGAGAATCCCATGCTTTCATGACCTTAGAACAGTTGCTACACTGCATCATCAGCTTTTTTCTTTGCTTTTTCCCTACTCTTCCTCTGAAAAGTGTCCCTTTGATACAGAAATTACTTTATTTAAAACTATACAGTCAAAGTATTTCCATCTCTTCTATGTGAATTCCAAATCAAAACTCTGTTTTCTGCTTGGGTAAAATAAAACTAAAACTTACTGTTTCTGATGAAGTCCCAGACATTCCTTTCCAGACCCAGTAATCATGGTGACAGAGACTCTCATCCCTAACAGGCCAGTGCTGTTCCCTGATGTAGTTTGGCTGCCTTCACTCATTTGCTGGAAAATCAATTTGTGAGAGCCTTTTCCAACGTGCTCCTGACAAAAGGTTACCAACATTAGCTTAAGGAACTCAAAGTGTTGCTCTAGGTTAGCCTGTTGGCAGCAAACCAAGGAGCACTCATACAAATTACTCCAGTGGCTGAGTGGCAGAGGCAGTGATTGCTACTGGGGCATGATAAAAATTAGCTAAGGGGCAAAAATCACTCGTAGGGAGGGAGAAAAAGGCAGCAATTAACTGGTGTTGTAACCAAGTCTATTAACATATTACTGGATCTGGAAGAAGTCTGTTTGTGGCCTTCTGCAAAGGCTGCACTGCTTCCTCCCCCTCAAACACAGCCATAGTCAAACACTATGTTCATGAAACTCAACATTTATATCATTTAAACAACAGTAGAAATGGTCAGGGAGGAATAAATTTTCCCCATGAGGACAGTCAGACATTGGAATAGTCTCCCAGGGAAGTGGTGGATTCCCTCACATTAGACAGTTTGAAGTCTCAGCTTGACAGGGTGCTGAGCCATCGTAACAACTAGAGTAATGACTAGAAAGGTTGGGCCAGATAATCCTTGAGGTCCCTTCCAGCTTGGCATTCTAGGACTCTATGAAATTATATGGTCTTAATGGTTAAGCATTCATTATTTCCTAACTTCACAGGAAGAGAAGCTGAGCAGTACAGGCAGATCAGAACAGCTGGTTTGTATCCTATTTAATGTGCAATCACACATTAAAAATAATAAACATCACTCACCCCATTGCAAATTCATCTAGGTTTGTTTTTCCTAAAAGCACAGCTCCCTGATCCAGTAATTTCTGAACTACTGTAGCATTGTAAGGAGGAATATAACCTGGAAACAAGCAGAACAATTAAGAGAGTGATTGGTGAGATGTAATTGATTTTTGGAAGTAGCTACTCTGAACACTTCAAAGTTGTCATTATTTGTGCATAAGAATCACCAGTTCACAGTGCCAAAACTTTGGCTGAAGATAACTTTAGTCATTTAAAAATATATATCAAAATTAAATCTAATGTTCTTGAGTTAGCAACATCTTTTTTCTCTCCAAAATGTATAACCCAGTCATTCTGGATTATACACTTCTAGAGTGTGGAGCTGAGATTTGACATAAACAACTTACCACAAGGGCAGCAAATTACTGCATTCAGTCAATTTGCAAGAACTGTCTAAAACTAGAAGAAATGATAAATGCTCTTTACAGAAAAGTGCTAAACTGTCTGGAATCATCTCCCACTGTCACGAGATAAAGGAGCATATGGTTACCCACAAGCTGAAATACCAACTGGCTATCCTGTGATGCAGTCTGTGCACCCTTGACCAGTTAAGACCTCACATAAACCAGGATGAGAACCATTGCACAAGAGATCTCAGGGAGCCACCAATGCCTGTTGTGAACATGGAGAGGGGTGTTTCCTTCCCTCCCCTCAATGGGCACAAGGACAACAATCACTCCTAATACTCTCAGCGATGACACTGCAATAAATCTCAATGGGTCTGATGCTTAAAGGAAAAGCATCATCTCAGCTAATCTAAGTTTTTAAAAGGCCAAGTCAGATTTTGTTCCTTCTGCTGTTAAAAAAAAACCCATAATCAGATCAGGATTCTGCTAATTTACTTGAGCTATCTTCCACAGGACTTTTCAAGTCTCACTTTGTGCAGGACAAAACACATGTAGGAAATGTTTCCTACTTCTGCTCTCACCATGAAAACATTCTAATGCCTTGGAAATGTTACTGGAAACAATGAGCTTAGGGAGAATTTCCAAAAATTAAGCCTTACAGAACGTGTCTGTACATTAGGAATGTAGAGAAAAGAGTTATTAAAGTTAACAATTAGCAACAGAACAACAACAAAAGACTGTCTTTGGATTCTGCCAGGCAGAACAGCAGCAAATAGAATGGACTGCTCTCCTGTAGTAACATGAAGCAAAATGTCAACTACAAAACAATTCTATTGTAGCATATGGGCTCTGAAAACATTGTGTTGTTAAAAGCATGTAACTATATGAATAAAGGAGAATGTGCTTACACAAGAAAACGATGCATTTGTCATACCAGATGAACTTGGCAGAAGAAATTAGATAAACATGTTTTCTCAAATTAGTTCAGCTCATTTTTGGAAAACATTTACATTTCTGGAAGACCCCACTCCATAAACCTTCCAAAGAGACGAGCAAGAGCTCTGAGGTGGGATCTGAGTTTACTTTAAAAGCTCTACTGTACCTTTCAGCATGTTGGATGCACATGTTGTCTCAATGCCAGCTGTATTGAAGTTGTCTTTTACTGCAACAGGAATTCCATCTAAAGGACCCAGTGGCTGACCTGCATTAGGAGTTATTGAAAAGACAAAAGAGTTGAAGCAAAGTGTGCTACATAGTTTCCCCATCGATTACTATTTCTTTTACTAGCCCCCTTGGGTGCTTTTTTTAAAAGCAAGAATGCTATCCACTTAGCAGGTGATGGTTGGTCAGTTACATTTTCAAGAACCACCTTCCCTTCTAACTCTAGCACTGAGCATTCTGCCCAGATCAGAGCTCTAAACATGTGTCTAAGCCTGCAAGGCAGGCAGCTGCTTTCAGAAAGGTTCAGCTATCCCAAAGGAATGCCCACCTCTCCAAACACGACCACACCATGTTTATTTGGGCCATAGGTGCCTGCACCTTCTGGGAGATATAAATTCTGCCTACCTCGCAAACACAGCAGGTAGGATTCTGAGAAATTACTGGAGCAGGGAGTATCTTCCCTAGGTGATCAATTATCCATCGTGCAGGGAAAAAACCCGACATAAATTAAAATGCCAGCGCCAGGAAGAAAACACACTGGCTGGAAATTTTCTTAGGCAGGAATTCTAAGCCAGGAAGAAAAATAAGTCCCTTGTGAAGGGAAAAATTCCCTTTTTTTCTTTGGTCTTCTGGGAAGAAGCGTGGAAAGGCGGCAGGTGAGGGGTTTGAGGCCGGGACCCTGAGGGAGCAGCTGCAGGTACAGCCACACAAGCAGCCCCAGGCCCAGCTCAGGCCC